AATTTTTCACCACAGTAGCTCAGAACATAAATAATTATAGTATGCTATCCATGACTAAGTATCTCAACAAATTTATCATCCTTACATACAATAAATCCTACCTCAGCACAGATGTAGCGTGTTTCCTTTAACTTCACAGGAGTTGGTGGAGGTCTATGCATTATAGATTGCTAGTGTTTTCAAAGTACTGTACCTATACTCTTATCTACACATTTCTGATTGTCAATGTTTCTAAACAGATTTTTGGGGTCTTTACTGCTCTTGCAGGCGCTGTATTGTCATAGAAAGGATTCCTTTCTGTCATTGTGAACCTACTTTTTTTGTGTATCTCTGTTTCCCTATCATACTAATTAACAGGATCTCAGAATTGATGACATTTTTTCTTGTTGCATACAGCTGTGGATGATTCCAACCACTTCATGTCCTTTCAAAAGCATCATCTATGTGTCCGAATCTGTTAAAGCAGAGAAGGTTTCTATCAGAGGAAGGATGGAGGTTTTTTTTTTTTTTATTTAACATTAATAGTTTATAAATTATCCATGATTCTTGTGTTATAACAATAATTTTCAAAAATTTGAAAAGCTAATATGGTATCTTAGATAATACCTATTTCATTTATATCCAGGACAACTTTTCTGATATCAGAGCGTTATTTTTATGAGACGTCATTATTTTGTGTTCCTTTCTGTGAGTAAAAGCATACAAGGAATTTTTTGAAGGCATAATTTCTAGAAATTAATCTAGAATTATTGTTTACATCTATCCTGGTCTAGGGTTCATGTAGCTAATTGGTATCCCTAGAACTACTTTAAGCTTGTGGTTGTTTGTACCACAAACAGAAGGACGTTGGAGAAGAGACAGTTAAGAGACTGTATGGGGTTTTTTTTCTCTCTTCTTTCCCTCTTACCCCATCAGTCTCAGCTCTGTGGAGTGTAATGTGAAGTATTTCCCCATGATTTCATTATCCATTGTTTTAGGTCATAGCCTAACCAGAAAGGAAGGCAACAGGTTGTGCTTAACTAGAAATTTTGATTGAGAGATCTTTCACTTCCCTACTGGAGGTGAAGCCATAATTGTGTCTGTGATTGCATTGTAGAGAATGATGGGTAAAATAAAATACTGATTCATAAATAATAGTGGAATTGCACTTATTTTGCTTTCTCATACTGAGTGAATAATCTTTACATTTTTAAGAAAAAGGGAACAGTACTTCATAGATTTAAACCATAGCAGATATTTTTCTTTTCTTGAAAATTTATATGTGTTGATGTATTGAGTAGCCAGTAAATGTGAAATTATATGTGTGCTGCCATTTATCAAAAGATTATTTGTTTCTCACTTTGAGGACAATTAATAGCAGCAGCCTTGTTAAACTTCCGGCCTTAGTATTGATCAATGAGCACTCATTCCGGAAGGCTGTGCTTCTGAAAGGTCCAGCATTAAATAAAAAGTTGACATTTCAAAGATTGACTTTCATGCCCGATCAAGAATATAACCATCTTACATTTAAATCCTTTAGCATTCATGTATTTTGTCTACATTTTTATTCCAAAGTAGTACATTTTATGAGGCTACCAGCAAGCAGAAAAGAATATTTTAGGACCTATTCTCACTTTGTTTGGTCCTGCTCATATTTATACTGTCAGCACCTTATTTTCCTGGTTTCAGTGATCAGCATTTACCGCAACTGTATAGGTAGCAGGCCACTTGCAGTATGAGATTTTAAAGTGGTGCAGAAACCAAAGAGGATGTATACAAGAAGGATATATATCCTCATGCCAGCTGCAGTTGTTGCTTTGCCATACTTTATGCACAGGCTTGGCGGTTCAACAATGGCTTTTGGGGAGCATGAGCTTGTTGTGTTTAAGTATATTGAATTCTTCTATATTTTGAGCAAGATGAGAGATGGGTTTTTGCAGTGTAGTATGCATAAAAATGAGAAGAATTTGAAATAGCAAAAGTTGAATCTCTGTTCATGTTTTGATATAAAGTAGATACAATAAGAAGAACTAGTTGGAAGAAGCAAAACAATTGAGCACTTTGAAGAAGTTTGTTGCTTTATTTTATAGAAAAAAAACATGACAGCAGTCTATTAAGACTTTATAAAGTTCTGGTGCAGCAAGAAAGGAGTGTTACCATATCATTTCTTGTTGTAATAAATTTAAATGGTCTGGTTGTTATTAGAATGCTGATCAGGAAGGAAACAGAAGTCTGTCCTTTTTTCATAAAAAGGTATAAAAAAGGTTACACACTTCAAAATGCAGAAAAGACAGAAATTAAAAGCTTAAATAACTGCAAACAGCAGGGTACGTCAGTAATGGAAGGACTTCTTAAATGACTTTGACAGCTTTTGCAGGTGCACGTAGTATGTCACTTTGCCTAGTGGAGCATTGAAAAAGATTTATGGTTCCCCTTTTGGAATTTATTAAGAGTTTCTTTCTTTCTTTTTCTTTCTTTGCGACGTAGTCTGGACATACCCCCTCCCTTGCAGTCGTTTTTATTACAGCTCCTAGAGGAAAGTCACCTATTCAAAAACATGTGTTGCTTGTTGTCTCTGTGGCTAGCTCACAGAGCTGTAAACTCTGGAGAATGTTGTTATTTACAGCCAGATATTTTCATTTCCTTCCCCTTTTGCTTTTTTTTCTTTGTATGTAAATCCAATTTATTTGTTTTAGTTCTTGAAAGTCTTCCTGTATAATTTTGTACCCCTCAACATTTAAATTGGTAACAGAAATGTTCTTTCAATGAAAAAGTCTAACCATCATAGACTAGAAGTTTTTGGTTTGGTTTCTTTTTTTTAGGTTTATCAACATATGCTCTGTTATATTCCTTTATATGATGTTACTCTTGCTTTCACTAACATGCTTTCATAATACTGTTTGTAGATGCTCTGAGGGTCCACTGCTATACCTGTGGTGTTTGCTGATGCTAATTAACCTTACTTTTTTTCTTTCTTTTTTTTTTTTTTTTTTTTAACTTGCCATCTACGTTCTTTGAAATATTATTTATTATTTTGACAAGTCAGCGAGTGTTATTTTGTGAGATTTTATTCCATTGACCAAGTTAATCTATTCACAGATGAACAAGTGTTGGTTTTGGTTTTGTTTTCTGAAATTTCTCCACATTTTTAAAGAACTTCCTTTCCTGCAAAATCTTGTCTTTATATTAGTAGAAGTAAATGTGATGGCAGCATTTAATTCTGGTGCAAATTCCAAGAAAGTGGGACAGAGACAGGGGTTTGCCCTCCAAGAGACAGTTCCAGGACTAGAGCTTTAATTACAATGAATGTCATATCAGAATTTTCTTGGGAAAGTAGTGAATTACCACTGTTATAGAAACAAAGCATTTTAACTGTCCTAGTGAAGATAACTACTGAAAGCAGCAACTTTAAAACCGAAAACAGTGACTGTAGTTGTGGTAGTAATCAGTAAAATAACCAACTAAAAATATCAATTAAGTCAGAGTAGTTAACCTCACTTTAGTTAAAAGCAGGGATATGATTGATTGCAACACTGATGGGAATGACATAAAGAACTCACAAAACTGGGAAAGGGTTAGAAATATCAAGTTTGTTCCCCTGTACTCCATCCTATAACTTGCTCAGTATGAAACTTACTTTGGGTTTTTCATAGTTTTTAAAACTCTAATAATTCTTTCATTTTCTATCAACTATTACTTGGTTTAACACATTAAGAACCAGGTTTCCTCTCTGTGGATGAAAAACTGTGGAAAGTGTTACCAAAACTTGCTGCTTAATTAAATCTTCTGTAAAGAGTGAACATTGAGATGATCCTGGCAATAATGGGGGGCAGGGAGGGGGAGTTACAGAGTGTGCTGGTACATGTAGAACAGTACACCTGTAATAGGTGACATACTGAAATCCTCACAGTGCAAGACTTCCAAGCTCCTTGTAGTCTGGAATTAAGGCCATATTTTTTCTCCATCAGGAGCTTGTTGTAGGTTTAGGCTTTCAGTGAACTGCAGGATGAGATGTGGGCAGTAGCACTTCTTTTTACTTGCGTGTGATTTTCTTTAAAATTAGCTAACACTGTTTCCCTTTGCACAAATTCTATCCATATGTCTTTAAATTATGGCCAGTTTTCCAAGGTTGAGTCCCTTCATCGGGTTGGTTGCCTGCATAGTTAATCTTTGCAGGTTTTTAATACAAAACAAATATGAGATCCGTGGACCTTAAGACAGTAATTTGTGAAGGACAAGTGACTAAATTTCTGGATTCAGATGTTCTGGTCAAGATAGAGACTTTTTCCTCAAGTATTGTAGAAATCTTAAGCCTGGTTCTGTTTTCTAAATAATTATGGGATATAACAGGTTAGTGAGTACTCAGTATGTTAGTGTGTGAATTTACAGCATGCCAGCTACTCTGCAAAAGCTCCCCATGGGATGCTCTGAGTGTACACTAGCTTTGAGTTAAGTGCAATTTGCAGTAAATTATCTTGCACAGAAGCATTTTTAGTGCACAGTTTTTGAGCTGGCATACTACTTACTCTGCAGTTCTCTTTAACATCCTAACAGAAATTAAAACTATGTAAAGAGACTCCTGACTTCTTTTGTATTTGCTACTTCAAAATTCCATTTTTCTTCATGCACAGTAGACCACATCAACTAAAACTTGGCAAATATTTCTATCAGAAAGTAGTAAGCCACAGTATTTTTTGTGATACAATTGCAAGAACGGGTAGGTAGTAGACTTAAGTGATGCTTTTCCTCCAATAGCCAGTCTTCTACTAACAAAGGCTTTGCATAAATATTAAGGACCTCCATAGGCCATGAAGAAAAACATTCTCTTGATCTTTAATTGGTGACTCTTGAGGACTTCACATCCTCTTATAACAGCCTTTAGAAGACTTGATCAGTATGTGGTTTTCCTCATCAAGTGCTCAGGAAGTCTTAATGAGTAAAGTGGCAGCTAGTCTCCAAATACGTAAATCTGAAATAGAAAAAATAAACAAAAATTAAAATGTTAATTTTCTGTCTTCCAGACTCGTTTCAACCAATGTCTCAGTAACCAGGATTTTGCCTTGGATGATGATGATGATGGTTATGAAATGGAGAGAACAAGCAAGTAAGAAGCCTGTTCGGATGTGTGTCTATGTATGGGAGAAAGGGTAACTAGTGTTATTCAGCAAGGTTGAGTTCAAGGGATGCATTTTTCTCCTGTTCCAGCTGCTAGCTTGGTTCTTTATCTAGATAATGTCAATTAGTTTAGGTTTAAATCTGCTTTTAAAGAGAGGGACGAGCTATTATATGTTTTAATTATTTATAGTGCCTATAAGAGCTTGACGTATAATCCTCAGTCTCCACAGACACAAAATGAAAAGGTAGACTACATACATAAAGAAGCAGCAAAATAATATTTGTCAACATGGTGGGCAGTGACCTCAGCTAATATGTTCTTTAAGTCTTGTGTTGTGGTCATGACCATGGAAAGTTTTCTGAAGGGTCTGAAAGAGAAATACTGTCATGTAAGTTTTATATCAAGGTCTTCCTATGTGTGAATTAAAGGAAGATTGTAAGTTGAGGCTTAAGCTGCATTAAGGCAGTCTCTGATTGAATTCAGGAGATGATTTTTGATAATGAACTTAGGATATAAGCCATGAAGGACCTTGAAAGCAAAGTCAAGCAGTTTAAGCCATGATGCAGTAGGGAAGAAGGAGCTACTGAAGTGTTCAAAAGGTATCATCAAAACAGCGATCCATGGAAATACCCTTTGTAGTAGTATTCTGGATAGGCAGAGATAGGGAAAGACTGCAGTAGTACGGGGGTCAGAGGTAAGGGTATTGCAATGGCTGAAAGAGAAAATAAGACAAAAGTACCAGTTCTCCTTGCAGATAAGCGGTACTCCAGTAAGTCTGCTCATATGACAGAAGAAGAGTTGCAGTATGAAAGTCCTGCCACTAAAATAAAGTATGTGGCTAGGTCATCTATAGAGGTGGAAAAACACTGACCTAAATATAAGGTGTAGACAAGGGAAAAGAGGAACCAATTTTGTAAAAACTGTAAAATTTGGAGGGAAGGTTTGGGAAGTCATATTAAGGGTGAATTGAAATAACAGTTACAGTGGTTGGGGAAGAGCCAGGAGGTAGCTAAACTAGCTAATGGTAACTGCAACTTCCATATTTAGGAAAATTCTCAAGTAGAAAGGAATTCTGGATATATGTTCCTTTTCAAAAGTCTTGGAATGCATTCTCCTACTTACTTTCAGAAGCGCCTGTAATAAAATAGCTTTTATGTTCCTAGATGATGCAAACATTTTTGTTTTCAGATTATCATCAGAAGACAGTGAGGAAGCTTCTGCTTACTTTTATGATAGTGATGATTCTGGTGAAGCTGGAATAACTCCTCAGCACCAAGGAGAAATGGACTTGCTTGGCGAGATTTTGGACACGCTGAGCACACACAGTTCGGATCAAGGAAAGCTCTCAGGAGCAAAAAGCCTGGATTTCTTTAGGTCAATGGATGACATTGATTACAAGACTGCGGTTAGTCTTCTGCTTTCATTTGAAAAACAACTCTAATACCTTCATAGTGGAATCCTGCATTTGTGGAATTGACAACACGCAGCTCAGACACTGCAGCATAGTCCTTAGAATTGCTAGTGTGTCTTCCTAGACCTACTTAACAGTACACCCATGCTGGCCACTGCACGATGGTTTTCCACCAGCCAAGAGATTGGTTACACCTTTGTCTAGTTTATCAAGTCATCTTGGAAACACTATTTTTCCTATATAACAGTAACCACATATTAGAGCTGTGAATAATGTAGTAATTTACTTAAATAGTTTAATATTACATCTAGCTGTTCAATTTGGTATTCCCAGAGCTGATTTTCTTCTTTTTTTAATGCAGTTTAGAAGATATTTATTTCCATTTTCACCATCCATCCTTAAACTAGTCATAGTGATATGATGATGTTTCCATCTTAAGTCTTGGGATCCATGTGGTAACTGCACCTGAAACACTACTAGAGTAGTACTCCAGAACTTTCTAAGAGGGCTCCTTGATCCGTTTTTAGGTAGAGCTGCACACGACCTGTAGTGTAAATAAACTGCTTGCCTACAACTTTAAAATCCTTACCAAGTCACTGCTGTGATGTTATCCAAAAAATTGTCAGTGTTTTTGAATTCCAGCTCATATCAGCTGTCCAACATTTACTTTTGCTGAAAGGGATCCTATGGTAGAAGATTGGTTACTGGAATAGCAAATTCTGATGCAAATGTTTAAAAAGCTTGTAAAATTTTATAACATGAGTGTCACACAGGGGTCACAATTATAAAATGCCCATTTTTGTTTGGCCAAAAAAATTTAATATTGAAAGTTGGTATAATTAATTACTGAAGCAAAGAGGAAATGCCATCTGGTTTTAGTTTTAGACCAGCTCCTTCTTGTATTATGGACACAAACCAGCAAAGTGTGACTTTGTTCACTCTCAAAACTGCTGTACAAAGGCAGAATGGACAGGGGAGACAGAAATCCTTCCTTTGTACAAAAGGTGATCCTTAGGATAAGAGATTGTTCTAGTGCAGAAGTGTAAAAACACTTGATCTTACAGTGTCTGGGATTGTTATTCTATAACATTGAATCCCAAAGGGGAGCCATGGTTTAGAAACACACAAAATCCATTAACGTAATTTTGTTTCAAAAGTGACAGTGTAAAGATGTTTCTTGTGACATTAATTATAAATCCATGTTCTTCCTTTCAGAACAAGTCAAATGCACCTAGTGAAAGCAACCTTACCCTGCTCTGCAGCAGTGCTAATGATCAAGCAGAGTGGAACCTTGGTCAGGATGACAGTATCCTCCATGGGAAGCAGCTCCCTCCATCACCAAGGAAACAAATTTCTTCTGGTGGCCATAGAGAATCTCTCTCAAAGCTGGAGGAAGAACGTAGTGACAAAGCCTTTATTACCAACAAGATGGACACCACTAGTATGACATCCCCATCTCCAGTACAATCAAGTGCCCAATTTGCTTCTCTAGAAAGTTTCAAAGCAGGCTGTTCTTCCTGTAAGTATGCAAAGCGGAACGAAACACTAACCAATACCTCAGCAGATCAGCTCCCATCAAGTCTTGCTCAACATCCATCCATTCTGGTCCCTTGGGAGAAAGATGGGAAGGAAGGAAATGAAACTCCGGAAGAGGGTGGGCTTCTTGAAGAAGTGGTGTCATTATGTAAACTGAGTTCTGCTTTTCACTATGGTTTAAATATTTCGAAGGATAGCTTATCCAGCAGTAGCAGTGGAAATAAAATGTAAGAAAACTATGAGAAGAGAAACTTGGCTCCCATCAGAAGTTAAAGGGAGACTACTCAGGACTCCATGTAACTCCATATAACATGATAACCAAAAGATGAACAAGGAATGAGATCTTCAATTATAAAAATAATTCTCTTCAGTTGAGTATGCATTTTCTGCCATTGGGACATCCGATTCTGTGTTTACTGAGTTCATTTGTTGGCTGTAGTTAGGTCCACAAAATGGAACTAAATATATGAATGCACTCTTAAATCAGGTACTAGTTAGTCTCTGTGTTAAAAATACAGCAGGTATATGGTGCTTCCTCTAAGCAGCAGGAAAGGTATCACCTAACAGGTAACCAGGTGTTGAAGGTACTATATTAATCCCATTTAGTATGAAATGAACCGAGCAATCTGATTTGTCAGAAATGTACAAATGTTAATATTTGTCATGAATAATAATTGCCTTAATCTTTTGAGAAGAGGTTTAACTATCTTAGAAGGTGAATGCAAATCTACAAAACAGCAATAATGATTTTCCATGGCAAGAATTTGCTTCAGCAAATGGGAGCAAAAACAAACCTTTTTTTTTAGACTGAGGAATTTCTTGTGAATATTGCTTGGAACTTACTCCAAACTAAAACTGTGGCCCTGTCTTCCAGACTTCGAAAAGGTAGCGCATGCTTTTCTCTCTTCTGTAAAGTACATGAAGTGCTGAAATATAATGTGATGTTTATTAACTTCTGTTTACAACTAAGACACTTTAAAGACATATTATCTGGTTTCCCTAGGTAGACTATTTCACCTAAAAATTTTCAGAAAGGAAAATGTAAGTGGAATTGATAGGTTTTATAAAGTTTAATAGTGATTGAAAACTGATTTGTGCCTCTTCGGAACTATTTTCTTTCAATTTTTAGTAGCTACCTTTTTGAAGGTAGATTGAATTACTGTTGCTTAGAAGTCCTATTTATTTAAATTGTTAGAGTAATGACTGAAAATTACTTGTAACACTAGAAAACTAAAATTACAGATTCAGCTTGAGACTGCATATAACCAACTCTCATTTTAGCCAAGTTGAACAATGAAAAATTTCTTTCTAGATTCAGTGAAAGAGAATAAATGGGCTTGATGTATATTCTATTTAGAACAAGCATTTTTCCTCCTCCTGGCAGTGTTCCTGAGGAATATTTAGATATTTAAAGTCTGAAAATTCTTGCTGCTAAATGGAGCATCTCTTTCCTTTTTTTTTTTTTTTTTTTTTTTTTAACTTTTTATATTTTCCTGTGCTTTTCTTTTTCCACCTCTCCACTTTACCATACTTACATTGTCCTCCACTATAGCTCAGGACAGAAAGTCATGAAGTAAGTTTCTGCAGATTGGAATTGTCAACTTTGAAGGATATTTGTGATGCAGTTGGTAGAAGTAACACGTGGGTATAAAATGAACTGTGCCTAAGAATGCTCTCCTGCTCTTCTAAACTCATGTCAGAAACCTTTTTTCTTTCTTTCTCTTTTTGGCATGAATAGTTAGTCTTAATCTCGGTATAGGACCGAGTGAGCATATTTATGAGGTCAGTATTTGGATCAGATTGTGCTTTTTTAGTAGTTTGTAGCAAAGTTTAATATCAGTTGCTACACTCCGGTTTATGAATTAATTTTCCTTCTAGATAACACAAGTGGAAATGGGTTTTTCGGTTGCTTTATTACAAGGCAGCTGACCTAAGAGAATGTATCCATATCATTACAGAGGCAATGTTTGATGCTTTACCAAAGAGATGCAGTAGAGTGAGACCTTGGCTTTGTTAATGCAAAAGTTTCAGTTTGTTCCAGATTGAGAGTGGCTGGGCCAGTACTTATCATTGACGATGAGCCTTCAGAATTATTTTTTTAGTAAGTGCAATAGAGATAAAAGGTTGTAAAAGTGCAAATCTTACAGACATGAACATTCCTGAGGGCATCTGCAATCTGTGTTGCTGGGGAATCTCAGTATTCCAGAGTTAGAGGTTGTATGGCCGGAGGTCTGTACTCCAAAGTATTTATTTATCCTTTGGTTTCCTCTTGTGTATCAGCATGGTATATTGTGGAATTTGTTTTATAACATAGAAATGTTATTTGGCAAAACATTTTGCAGTATTAAAAACCAAAAGTATCATAAAAATTACTTAAAATCTTCACTCTAAACTTTCCAGGTGGGTCAGACCAGCTGACTCAGATGCTGTTCAGGTGAGAAAGTTGCAGAGCAACCTTATGGATACTTGTTTGGAGGTGGTATTAATGACTCTGTGGAGGGCATTCTTCTCCTTTGCTGGTACTAAACATTACCCGAATGTAGTGCTGCTGAGTGTGTCTAAGAGAAGACTGGCAACACAAAGGTTTTTGTTCTTGTAGTGCTTCTCACTCGTTCTCATTCAAGCCCTTGCATTTTGTTGAGAATTTCAAGATTCACCTTTTCTTTTCCTCTGCATCTGACAGTGTTTCTGTCCATACTTCCATCTAAGATGATGTTTTGTTTTTTTCATTTATTAAAGATAATAAACAGTATTAATGTCTTAAGGAGGAAAACAGAAAATTCAGAAGTTATGGCCGCCATTACTTTCAAAACCACCAAACCCATAAGTTCAGGAATGCTGCCAGAAAAATGGTTTACAAAAATGCCTTTCTGATAGAATAAATCTTACTGGCTTTACATGAGAGTCGGGTACTGAACTCCTGTTATCATATAGATTGTCCCATTCTCACCTTTGTGGAAAAAATACGGAAGCCATGTGAGGCTGCTGATATTCTTATAGCTGGTACAAGGATCATAAAGTTGAAAGTTTGGTAGTAGACTCTTTCAAAATCGAGGCGTTGTAATAATCCACTGTTTCATTGAGTGAAAATGCAGGCTGAGAAGAAGTAAACATGAACTAAAAGGTGGCAGGTAAAATTCAACTTAGAATTAATTTTACTTCAGTCAAATGTTAGTTATTGTGCTTATGCCACATTGTTTCCTTGCTATTTATAAGCCCACTGAGTGTTTACAGTAATTTTTTGGTTTGGAACTTTGTATGGATGCAAAAATAACTCAGTCCTATATCTATGTTGAATTTAACTTAGGTACATTTTAAACTCTGTAATATTACTGAATCGTTTCCACTTACTATCAGTGATCTTTTATTTTAAAAGGCTAATATTTGTGCCTTATTTGAACAGAATTACCAGTTACCAAATAGATAAGAGTCCAAACTGATATTTCCGGTTCAACACTGTTGTTCTCTGTCCTTGTGATAATACAAAACTGTTTATTGGCTACATACACAGTATTTTTATTACCACATTAGGTTCTATATTAAGATAAATTGTCCAGGTCCAGTACTTTTTACAAGTTTTATACTTGTATGGTTTTTATTTGTGGAAATTCTTCTAGCGTCTTTGAAAATCATCAACATTCATCACCAGCTACTGGTGAGAACTGAATTCTGCTCAGTCAGAGGTCCCATGGTCTTCTTCAGAAGCATCTCTTTTCATCAGGATCTCAAAAATCTTCCCATTTCTCCTGTTTAAGGGAGATACCAGGTTATTTGATTAAGCTTTGTAATCTGTTACTTACACATAGGAACAGATTTCTGATGTAGTAAGTCAAACTAGGACTTGAATTTAATATCTCTGAGTTGTCTTGCATAGATGTCTGCCTGAAATGAGCCGTATCACTCATCTGGTTTGGGAGAAAATAAGTAAGGGCAGTAGAAAGAGAAAGGGATTCCTGGGTTGTTCCAGTGGGGTGTGGTGAAGCAGAGCCTGGGAGTTCTCAGGAGGGACAATAACTTTGAGGAAATCCAGATTTCAGGGTATTGTTTAATGTTCTAGCTCAGTTGTAGTGATTCCAACCCAGCCATGTAGGCAAAAGTAATATTGCCTATGGAATTAATCCCCTCTGTGATTTGCAGAATGGATAATATGTTGTCCTAGTCAAAGCCTTCCCATCCATGTGTTTAGAGGTGCAACATGTGAAAAACTGCAGATATTTGGGGAAGGACAGTACTGCGGATGCAGAGCTGATCCCTATCCACCCTCTATGCATGCAGAGGGCGGTCTGTGTAGAGTAGGCAGTGGTTTGCTCTTCCATCCCGCACATCTAGGCGTCACGTAGCTCCAAAAAATAGACTTGTTCTGAAGGAAAGATGTAATTGTAGAAGTTGTTATAGAACTTGTTGACTGAACCCTTCATTGTCATTTAGCATTTCAGTGATACTGCTGCCATTTGGTTGGGGTCATCAGAAACTCAGCACTGGCTGAAGTTCCCTCTCAGGCATTGTAACACAGACTTCAGCTGGAGTTTTAGACACATGCTGGGTGCTTTTGAAAATCCCACCAATCTATTTGAAGAGTGGTTTAGATCGCAGAAATCTGTTTTAGATGTCTTTTCAGGTCTTAGAATGAGCTGTTTTACAATCTTGTGTTCTTGTAAACGATGTAAAGTCTAGGCAAAAGAACAGTTAAGCTGGGTTTTTAAAACAGCTTCTATTTCTCAAACTACAATCAACCTATCCAGTTCTACAGAACAATCTTTCATTGGTGCAGCTGTCTAATGGAATTGCTAGGAGCATCTAAAAATCTTTTCTCTATGCATGTAATTAATTGAAGAAACATTTCATGCAATAATCGAAGTGCCAGCATGAGGCCCTTTTGCAAACGCACCCCCCTGTGTAATACTGACTGTCGTACCCAGTCCTGCAGAAAGGAGCCCCGTAACCGCTGACTGCCCTGACTCCGCAGGGAGAGATCAAGGGTGGTCTTTACTTCCAGGGGAGCTAGCATCTTCTGTCTTGGCACCAGGCTGTAGTCTAGGTGCTGTGAGACTCCAGCCAGCATGTTCCCAGCAGCCTGAAATTTCAGGCTGAACTAATGTGGCTAATAAAAGTATGCCCGAGGCAAGCAGCTTCCTTATTGCAAAGCTCAGGATGGTGAAGGCTCTGTTCCCATAGTATCACAGTAAGTCTTCAGAGAATGAATGTAGAAATAAATGCACCAGCAAAAACTGTATGAATGGTGATGTGACTTGTCTTCAGTAACTTCTTTGCTGCTATTAGATGTGTATGTCTTTGCCAAGTGTTGATTACTTGTTAGCAGAATCTGGACTGAATAGAATGCGTCTTCATCTTCACCCCAAGAGCATGGACCACAGCTGGTCTAGAATTCATGATCTTCAGGGTGATTGAAAATAAAGGAAATGAAAAGGGATAGTATAGATTTTTGTGCAAAACCTTCCTTGTTTTGCTTTATAATGTCTGTGTTACAGTTTTAGTCAGTGGCCAATTGAAAGTATTTGATAGGTCTTTCCTGGAAGCTGCTAAACTTCTAAATAGAGTTGCCTGATGAGTCCACAGCCACCTTAGTCTAGAGGGCCATCCATCATCCATGCAGTTGGCAGGGCCGCTGCCATCTTCTGCTGGGTTGGTATGAAGCAGGTAACACAGTTAGAAGGGACTCCAAGGTTTACTGTTGTAAGGGGTACTCAAATTAATTTTTACTATTACTTAGGTCAATACTAACAACATTTGTATTTAGAGTCCAGTAACAGTATTAGCATTTGAAAAATAAGTTGAATTCAAGTACGTTAACGTTTGTTATGACTCTGGGTGAATTGACATTCTGTTTCTGTTAAAAATAAGGGAGCTACTTGGTTGTAGGGAGGAAATGTGTTGACTTCCAAATCTTCAGTGAATTTTGTGCAATATTTCTCCTTGTTTCAGAGTAATTTAGTAGTGCACATCTGCTTTTCAAGCAGATCCTTGAAATGGTATTTTTCAAAAATGTGTAAAATTGCATGTAGCTATGAAATATGGTTGTATGATAAAAACATGAAGAATATATTCTAATGAGGCAAATGTATATTTCAAATGACTGAGAGTGATTATGGATGTCACATTCTATGGAAATAGTAAGGCCTAAGCCAATATTCGCATACCAGTGGTTCTAGGTAATTCTTAAAACTATAACATGGTTCAATTGAAGTAAGGTTAAATATTAGAATTTAAGATGTTTAGTTTATCATTTAATCATTTGTTTGTCATTGATAAAAAGATAAGGAGTTAAGCATTGCTTTTCGGTACCACCAATGAGGGGAGAGTTCATGGTGATGAGCATATGTATTAATTTAGTTTGTGACATCCCTAATAATCATAAGTCATTACTTAAAATATCTACTAAGGTTGCCAGTATCCTTTTAATTTTTTGTAAATTAATTTCTCTGTATATTGATGTACATTTTGTTTTAACCTTTGTTTTCTCTTGAGAACTGCTTTAAATTAATATACTTGAATGAGGCAATAAAGCACTGTGGAACAGCTAGTCTTGATGCAGCTTATGCACAAGCACATCACGTCTGTTACCTCATGATTATTGAGGAGGAAGAGAAATTTAATATGCTTACATGTTTAGCCAACTGACAATTTGTGTTATTTTTAGATCTGTGTCAGATACGATGAGAAATGCCTCAACATGGAACAAAGCAACATTACGTATCCCAGTGCTTCTAATTTTTTTTTTCGGAATGTTTTTTTAGTCACCTTTGAAAACCATTCCTGATAATGTCCTTGTTGGAGCCTTTAATACTTACAGGAAAGGCATGAAGTACAGGATGTTTTGAGGTTTTATTGATCATTTTAATAATTTCATAGATTAAAAAAAAAAAAAGGAAAGAAAAAAAAAAAAAAAAACCAAAAACCCCAAACATTATTGTCCTAACAGTTTTAAAAATTTAGTTAGTGACTGACCTTTAATAAAACTACTCCATGCTTTTGCACCCTCTGGACTACTGTTCAAAGTCATCTCAAGAACTGTAATTCAGACCTTAGACTACTGTCAGTAGTGCACTGTGTAGATGTAGTAAATGAGCTGTGATGTGTGGTGTGTCTTGTTTTTTTCATTTTCCTTCCAAGTTTGTGGCGTCAGTGGAAATTTTTGGTGAATTCCACATTACCATTAAGTGCCCAACACTGTACTATAAAATAAAACTTAACAATATGAAAATTCCTTGGGTGGTGCAGGTTCTTGTTTGATGGGTTGATCTGAATAGTATTTTCATGATTATCAGGCATAAAGGTTAAAATAATACAATGTTACTGTATTCTCTTGGAAGTTTTTCTCTTGAATGATCATTTCAGTATCTCAAATACAGAGAAAGCTGAATGTGTCTTCTTATTAATTTCTTCTTATACAGTACAAAAGTTAACTGCCGATGTCCTCTTGAATTCCAATGATATTTTCCTTCTTTTAAAAATCTTAGCTAGTCATGGCTTTTTTTTGGTATGTAGATCTTCAAGGTGTTACCAAAAAAATAGGTATATTACCTCATTTTACAGACTAAGAAATTGAGATATCAAGGGGAAGCTGCATACAGAAACTACAGTAGTAATAGCTGATGGGTGCTATGGTTTGAACCTTTAACACTGGAGATTAAAAAAATAATAATATCACCAAGTATTTTTGTACAGTTAAGCCAAGTATTGTAAGTATCAGAGAGGTCTTGAGGATACAGCTTATGAGGGAGGAGGGATGCCCAGCCTCCTGTAGTACCTGTAACTAGGTCTGACTGAAGGGCCACACTGTGGTGCTGGAGTCACTGGGACCTCACCTCCCCGCCCCAGCACGCGAGCTGGTCCTGCCGTCACCCCCCTGGCTCCGGCCCCTCCTGTGCCGGCCGCACGGCTGGGTGCTCACCTGCCTTCCTATCCCCCTTCTCGCTGCTGGTGGGAAGAGGCTGATGCACAAAGCACCTCTTGGATGCAGTGGTGATCAGGAACTAAGATGAGGCTGCGGTTTATTTGTGGCTTTGGCAGCTGCATAACATGTGCGTGGTGGGTTGGCGGTGTCTGGAGGCCAGGTGCCCACCAAAGCCACTCTATGACTCCCCTCCTCAGCGGGACAGGGGAGAGAAAATATAATGAAAGGCTCATGGGTTGAGACAAGGACGGGGAGAGATGACTTACCAACTGCCATCACAGGCAAAACAGAGTTGACTTGGAGAAATTTACTACCAATCAAATCAGAGCAGGATAATGAGAAATAAACCCAAGTTTTAAAACACCTTCCCCCCAACCCTCCCTTCTTCTTGGGATGCAGTTGCCCTCCCACCATTTGTTGTTTTGTTTTTTTTTGTTTGTTTGTTTGTTTTGGGTTTTTTTTGTTGTTGTTTGGTTGGTTGATTTTTTTTCCTTACATCTGTTATCCCAGAGGCGCTGCCACCATCGCTGATGGGCTGGGCCTTGGCCAGCGGCAGGTCTGGCTCAGAGCTGGCTGCCGTTGGCTCTGTTGGACACTGGCAAAGCTTCTGGCATCTTCTCACAGAAGCCACCTCTGCAGCCTCCCCACTACCATAGCATTGCCACACAAACACAATACATGAATCATCATGAATATGTTGTCATATATGGCTTAGCTTTTTGATGTAGTTGCTTTGATGAGTCATTTTGTGCAAGTGTATAACTATAATTCTGTTAGAATTTTACATTAAGTGGCTATGCACTGTAATCTGATCTGTGATTCACTCTTCTAAATTAAAGGCATTTTGGTTTCTTATGCAGACAAACCATAGAGACTGTGATTTCGATGTTGATATACTCAATCTACAACTGATGAAAAAATTACAAATCATGTTAATACAAAACGAGGGTGTGATTTTAACACTTGCTATTAGACTTGTACTAGCTTACTGTAGCCAGAAGAGTGATACAAGCTGTGAAGATTGATAGCACAGGGATCTTCACTGCTAGATTAAGCATAGCACATCTTGAAGTCATTTCTTCATTTTGACTGTAGACATGCCCACATTTATTCAGCTATTAAAAAGATAGCTATGACAATGAACTTCTTGTCATAGGTCCAGATTATGAGCCAATGGAGGCCATAATAAAAATGTAGAAGCCTTTAATTTTTGCAGAAGGAGTGAGAAAGTATGAAGATCAAGTCTTTCAGGTGAAGCTTGCCTGCTTTTCTTAGTTTGTTATCTCAGGGCACTGAGAGTGCAGTTACAACTTGCTTTCTATAGATGTTTCAGTTCAGCAACTTTTTTCAACCCTAAGCATGGGAAAGGATTGAAAAAGAGGAGGTAATAAGACATTAGTATAAGTTAAGTTGGCAAATTTTACACACATGGTAGGACAGGACTCTCTTCCTGTCGATAAAACTATACCAAGTGTTTGTGAAATAGGATTTCAGAGGAGTTTGGCATACCAGTTGCATGGAGGCACCCTGAGTATGAAAGCTGGCATATTTACTAAGAGTTGTGGCATTTGAGAGAAAAATGCAACTCAAAGCAGTGTCTTGCTGGGGACTTATTCAGGAGGAGAGATCATAAAGGCTCCTATTCATTAGTAGCTTCTTGGGTTTTTGTTCTTCGAAAGCAGCTGAGAATATTGCTTCTGCAAGATACTTTTACACAGTGCAGCTGCACCCATACCTGAATGATGGACAAAGCATTTCATTTTCTTCCAGAACTCACTGTGTGTTAACCTCGTGTTCACAAAAGGAAATGTAGCTTACCAAATTAATGGATTTAGATTTTTTATTTGATGTGACAAGCAATAACAACAAAAAAACCCAAAACAAAACAAAACAAAACCTAAGCAATGCCTGAGGTGATGTTGTGGGTTTGCTAGTATTCAGATAAAGTAGAGTCAGTCTGCAGATCTTCATCAGTCAGGAAAAATGCTAGCAGCTTCTTAAGCTTTAAAACCCCAGAGGTTGTCAATCCTGTTACAAATTCTGTATGAAATATAAACAATCACTAGTCCTAAAAGCAAAGTTTGGGAAGCACATTTGGAATATGCTATGGGCCATATCTCATTTCCTTTCTGTGGCTGCCTGTTTTACATACCTCCTGGAATTTGAAGGGCCAGGTTCCTGATGGTGTGCTGCTCCACTAGTTTTCTTTTTTCAGGTTTTCTATTTCCCTCAATTGTCACTGAAACATGGGGAACCAAACAGCAACAAAACCCAACACATAACAGTGCTGAAAAGGAAAGCTACACCATGAGCTACAAAAAAATATCTCAAACTTGGCTGCAAACCTTTTCCTTTTAGATCTGTTACCTGTTTTTAATTGCTAAGTCCTGCGAAATACTCAGTATCATGGATGAGACACAGTAAAGATGCACTCTGCCATGTAGAGCTTACACAAGACTCATTTACCTACAGAAGTTTGTTCTTCAGGTATGTATAGTTCTATGACTAGATCAACTAATCTACTTTCCAAGGTGAGTATTTTTATCCTGCTATAGAATCACTTAATTTGATTTAACTTCCTAAATGATAAGAACATTTCTGTGTTTTCAAGATGGGCTGAGGGTGCTTTTCTTAGCCTGGGTTTTAAGGTTTTAGCCTTGATATGCTCACCTTAATACTTCTGGATCCCAGTTTTTTAGAGTGGTTAAGCATTGGTGACTTAATTTAAATTATGTTAGATGACTTCTGAGATTCTGGGTCCCAGTGCCTTGAAATGTGCTTTAGAAGTCATAGATACAGCAGAAAGTTGTGGCTACCTGCTCCCACCATCCTCCCTGCAGATTTTTGTTCAGTTCCATACTAGCACTGGCTCCACATTCAGTAATATACCATTTTATAGTATCAGCAGTTTTCTATTCACTGTTCCTTTTAAGAAAATAACCTGTTAATATAATACCACCTGTTTAGCAATGAGAAGGATTATGTACTTAAAATGTTCAGCTGAATAATACATACAAACAGGTGACATTTGACCTGCTCTGAGAATAGGCGACGTGCTCATTTAACGATTTTGAAAATGTTAAAATGGTGAGGTAGAAATTAAAATGTCATTTAAAAATATTTGTATTTAACTTATCTGATTCAGTCCTTTTCTACATTTTCCCCTTGGCATATTCAAACTGGGGGTCACGGTAGCAGTCTGACACTGCGGATACTTTGAACGATACACTGAACATTGTTGGCATTTCAGCCTAATTAGTTGCATCCTATTTTGTGATTTGTCTTTGGTCCTTTGGGTTGCTGGCCCAGGATTTTTTTTTAACCTTTTTTTTTATGCTCATCATTGTCTCATTTTAAATGTCAACAGACCAGTACTTGTGTAATTGTTTTTTTCCCCTTACTTCTTTTCTCCCCAATGTCAGAAAATTTGACAAACGATTTCTACATCTCAAGCAGGCTACATGAGAAAAATATACCCCAAGACTGAGTGACGAATGGGCTAATTTGGTCTTGAGCACAGCCACATTTTTCTGGCCAGTGGTCACTGTTACCCACAGTTTTGGACTGGAACGATCTGTTCTTGGGCTGGTTTAATTGTTTGTGCCAGCACTGGGCCACCCCTGCAAGGCAGATCAGCATCTTCTGTTCTGGGCTTATATCTCGTGCAAAAACCTGATAGAGCCTCTGTCTCCCTGCAGTCAGGTTGAACATAGACAACTTGTCTGGAATCCCTCTGAAAGAAAGTGCTTTGACACTGGGCTAGTTCAACCAGACATTGAGGTTTTGTACATTTAAGAATGAAAGTGTCAACCTGCTGATTTACTTTCAACAACACTGACTGGACATAATGGTGTGCCCAAGGAAATATTTAAATACCTGGAAGAGCTGGGGTCACCGACACCTGAGAGTGCTCTGTCAGAAAACAAGGAGGAAAAGCAGTACAGCTGCATGCTCTTCTGGTTTGCTTTTTTTCTGCTCTGTCATTGGGGTCTGAGCCAAGGTGACTCCTGTGTATCTTTCTTGGTCATTGCATCCAAGGCTTGAAATGGTGTTAAAGCAGAAGTGCTGTAGGCAGCCTGGAAAGAGAGCCTTGTGCTTTTTTGCTCAGTACTGCCTGGGCTCCTGGCTGCGGTACACGCAGGGTGCCCTGTCACCACTGGATGCACATGGCTTGTTATTCGGGCATCGTTTGCCTGCTTGCTGAGATGATTAGAAGCATCTAAAGCTGCATTTAATTGTTGAAGTTGTTTTACACTTGGAGCATAAATATGTGGAAACACCCCACACATCTTGCCTGCAGACTGATGCTTTTCTAATCTGCCTAAAGATTGTGAAATTACTTAGGGGTAACACCTGAAGTTCTGTTAATATCTTATACTAGCTTCATGGAAGATACTAAGTTATTTATTTTGTGGGACAGAAAGCAGCTATTTAACCCGAGGCTTCCCTGTGCTGCGACTACTTGTACATTATAAACATGCTGCGATGCAAATAGCGGTTTGTACAGGTGAAAAAGGCTCACAGCCCAAACGGTCACAAATAATTAAGATTGCTGTGCAGAGCCTGCCCTTTCAGTTTGCTCTCACTCCTCCAGTGCCTACGTTGCTGTCAGTGTTTCTGAATTTCTACTGCCAAGTAAAGTTTAGCGCAGGTGCCAAATGAAACTAAGTGGGTTTAGATTGGAAACACACATTTTTGTCATCACTAGTTATTACAATACATGCCAATGAAAATTGTGCTTTTGCTGAAACTACAGGTGAAATCTGAAAGGTCATACACAATATTGAGCTGAGAAAAATGTCATGCTTTAAACGGTGCCTTGAAGAGCATAAAACCAGATGAAGGTCTGTGTAGTTTTTCTCTGATCAAAAAAGATGATTTCAAGTCATGATTTGGACATGTCAGTCTTGCTGGTATTTGACAATGTTATGTGAATTGCTGGTAAATTTAATTGCTTTGCCAAGTGATTTCAGGGAAAAAAATTGCAGCCTGATAAAAACAGAAATTAAAAGCAACTTTTGTGAAACAAGTCAAAATATATCAAAGTTGCTGAAATTGGTTGCAGTATAAAATCTCCAATACATTTTTATCCCATAAATATCATTTGAATGAACCTAAACCTAGAAAAATCACAACTGAACTGAGAATTCTGTTTGGCCTTCAGGACTCTACCTGTGCCATGATTCATAATTTATACTCCAGCTTTTCGATGTGTAAGAGGCCTTCACACTTCATGGCATGCATTATAGATGGAGGAGTTTAGGTTAAAACATGCTTTTACTGTGAGGCGTAGGGTATCACCTGGTCTCCACATCAAATTCATGTGTGCAATTTAAACAAGACCTTAGTCTGCTCCCAATAAATACACACCAGATGTATCTTTTATAAATGTTAGGTTTTGCAGCATCTTGACACATGCCAGTAGTTTGAAGCCTGTGCATGCTTCAGTGGGGCATGAAAGCCTCGTCCATTCATTCAACTGTGACGTTTTGAAATAGACAAAATTTTAGTGTTGTCAGCTACTTGCTGTTCAAATTTATTGATTTACAACATCTAATCTGATGCTCTTTGTTTGAATTGTTTTCAGAGGTGTCAGTTTTCTTTAGCTGAGACATGATTGAATAGCACAGGAAAAAGAATTTGGCCAAAATGCTCTGATCCATGATTCCTGACGTTATGTGACATTACACTTGTAAAGTTTGTCCTGCACTGAGACATGCAGGAGACTTGGGGCTTACGTTAAATAAAACATAGTAGAAAAATTTTTGGCTGGGAGAAAGACTTAGCTGTTTCTTATCTGGAGACAAGCTTTCTGCTGTGGGACTTTATTATGGCCATTAAAAAAAGTGTATCAACTATGTTCTTTATTTAATACTGTAATTTAGATGTTGTTTATTATTAACTAGCATCTGTTTGAACAATAATCTCTAGCCTGACTTCAGACACAGAAAATGGCAGTAAGTTATGGTTTAGCTTCTTATTGACCAGAAAGCTGGATGGGCTAGATGCTTTCTTGATTCCTCAAGCATCAGGAGACAGGCATGAGTTTTGAAGGCATTGGAATAGAGAGAATTCCCCATCTGAGAGCCCTCTGCTGAGAATGGCCCATTGCATCTGGAAAACTAACATGGCATCAAAGCTGTAGGTCATACATTATAAAAACTTAAAATCTCAGTTGTACTGAACAGGAAAGTTAATGGTATTTTGTTGGAAGAAGTAAGAATTCTTGAGCAGCAGAGGCTGCTGGTGGCTGAGTTTGGTTGGTTAGATGCCAATTTGCAGAGACCATAATTTCAGCCCCAAAAGATTGTGTTCACCTACTGTCCTAGTTGTACCATTTCTTCAAAAATGATCTGTTCTTGCTAAGAGAATTTGTAGCAACCTGATAACCTTCATGACAGTCTTTCAGAGGGCTGGGGTGAGCTTGGGTGGCTCTTCCAAGATGGTCAGAGGACAGAGGTGTGAGAAAGGCAAATCTCAGCTGGGAAAGAGAGTTTGTGCAGAGTATAGGATGTGACCAGAAGTGAGGCAGAATGGGCTGCTCTCCCTTGCCTCAAAGCAGCTTCTTCCTGTTGTAGCAGTTTCTTCTAAGTACTGCCACTTTAATGCTCATTTTGGGAAGTCAGCTGCTAAAGTGGCCATCAAGGCAGAGTTGGGCATTGCTCGAAGAAGGCATGTGAAAGTGAAGGAATAGTGTTTCGTTTGTCTTAAGTCTGTTTTACCTGGGGGTGTCCTGAGGATGCAGTCGTGGCAAGCCGGGCTGGAGGGGAGCTTGCAGCGCAACCGCAAGCATCAGTATAGCTGAACTTCTCCGAGGGGACCCTCTCAGTTACAACTAGCTGATGCCTTGGGGACAATAGGACTCATGGTTTCTGAGGTTGATCTTTATTGAAAAGTAACAGAGAGACTTTTCAAGTGAACAGAAGGCCCCTTGTGAAAATGGGACATATTAAGTGAAGAAAGTTCTTACTGCTCTGCCATTTTTCTGCCTGCACTCGTTCACAGTGCTGGAAAGACAGCAGTAATTTAAAAAACAGAGCCTGTGATTCTCATCTTGTATAAATTAGCTCCAGTGAAGCTGTATTGATTCATACCACCTGGCACAAAACATGTCCCTTTGGTGGGCACAGAACAATCAGTCAACATGGACATAGTCAGAGAGTGGTGCAGATTGTGATGCTGAGGCTGGCAGCACCAAACACTGCACAAAGCACATTCATCTCATTTCCAAGTATGGAAAATATTTCTTGATCACTTGACTCCAAATAGCTAATTTGACTTTCTAAACTGCAAATATAGTTCTGGCCTGGGGATAATTTCCTTTGTGAACACATGACGAAAAAATCCCATAAAACAAAAAAATATACGTTGCATGTAGCTCGATATAATCCTTATTTATTGGTCATTTTGATCCTGTACACAGCAAAATAGTAATACGAGTACACCACCTAAGCTATAAACATACTATGTATATACAGAGAAGGAACAGTTAATTTTACATAAAATGAAGAAGGCACATAATGCAGTGACACACTATGATCATTTTGAGCTGGGAAAATTTCACCTGCAATATTTCTATTCTGCCTAGTGTAAATATTCCTGGGACTCTGAAGGTATTCTTCACCGTTTCACAGGCTGAATGTTATCTCTTTCCAAGAAAAAATGGAATGGACTGTGAAAGGGGAGTAAGTTGCTTCCTCCTTCCCCTGCTTCTGAGTATCTCCAGAGGGATTTGGTGCAGAGCAGATCACGTGCTCTAACTCAGCACCTTCTCTTTCTTTGTAGAAGGCTGTTAGACATGAAGAGAAAGTTTAAATGTGTAAGGTCTGGGAGCATATTGTGCATTTGTTTCTTTAATGGATAGATTGAAAGTGATCATGAATAAATGCTTTTACTTTCAGCTTTTGAGTCAAATAGTGAGATAGATTAAACAAATGTAATTCTGAAGTATTTTAAGTCTTCTGCGTGGAGATACCTCCATAGTAATGGTTTATCAGTGCTTTTTGGGAAAACAAAAGCCAATATCAATATATTTTTCCTTACAGCAGCACAAATGCTCTCCACAACTCTTAGATGTTATTGCTCCTCCCTGAATGTCTGTGCTTCTGTACACATTTTACTATACCCCTGGGCTGAGAAGCAGTAAATAGCTTGACATCTGCTCTATCAGTCCTAATCTGTGGTTTAAATTTCAGTAAAGATGGTATTAGACACTCTTTATAATGTATTCTCTTTTGTTTTAACTGTTGTTCCCTGGTTGAGATATGGCCCGGGAGGGTCAGTCTTCCTAACCATATGTTTCACGGTCACTATAGCATGTTAATATAGTGGCGGCTTTGGGACTTCTTCTGCTTCTCCAGGCTGCCATTGAGCTTTTCCAGCTGCAGCATCTGCCTCCCTGTCTTCTTTGGATGTTGCTTTGTTAACTCAGCTTTTCAGAAAGTGTATTTAGAACTGACATTTGTGCCTTTGGGGCCTTTTCTTGTTTGTTTCTTACAAGATCATAGAGTTTTGATTTCACATTTTAATCCCTATTTGCTATAAAGCATGCTCCCTTTAAGTCATCTTACACAGATCTACTAAAGTAGGTAATTTTCATTCCTGATTTACCATCATCCTTCCTCCCTTTCCTATGGCCTCACTGCTATGAAAGGCCAGCTTCACCCTTGCTGCAATCCAGTGTTTGCCTCCCCCTTTCTCAAGTATTATCCAGTTTCATTTCACTTTCTTCTCTCACTTTTGCATAAATTTTCACCACTCTTATTTTTATCTTTTCTACTCTACCAAGACTGACAGCAATCACAACTTACTCTAATCGTAGTTTAAAGGTTTTTCCCCTGCCTTCTGTCTCTTTGACTTACCTTCTACAAACCACACTTATATTTCACTGTAAGACTTTTCTCTTTGTTGTGCTTTTATGGGTGTCTTTTTAATTCTGTAGGAGCATATTCCTCCAGAGCTCTCTTTAGTCTGTATGAAAACTCTCCAGGCTTTCATCTTCTCTGCCTCTTCCTTCTTCTGTACATGTTCCTGGGTATCTTGCTCAGCCCTATAGGTGCTCTGTGTGGCAACACTTTCTCAAATATTTTATTACCTCTGTACAGATTGTTCTTCTACTGTCGTCAAAATTTCATCCAGAAACTCAAACCACTGAGAAGAGCAGGATTACTTTCCAGCCACTTCCTTATTCTTGCTCTAACTTTCACCGTGAACAATAATGCTTTCATTCAAGTTAGTTCTCCATGCCAACTGCCTCCATCTTCAGATGCTTTCTCTCTTCTGTCCTTTTTCTTTGAATCATATTATAATTTAGTCTGGAAGGGACCTACGACTGTCATCTAGTCCAACCTCCTGCTCAAAGAAGGGTGAACTTAAGTTAGATCTTTATAACCATCATATTGCTATTTCTGAAATGACTTAATTTATGTTTTTCTTTCTCCATCTCTGCTATTCACAGGGATCTCTATCAATTTTATTTCTCTTTTTAGCTCATTGACCAGAAATCCAAGAACATAAAGCAGGTGTGTGGAAACATCTTCTTTCCAACCACTTCACTAGTTCAATGCTGTTTCTGCTAATTGTGCCCGGTTCTTCGTGCTTCTAGATTACCCCTGGTTTTCAGAGCTCTCTGTCCCCAAGCCCTTCCCACCCTGCAGCCTTACAGCTCTTCTCCTCCACATACTTACTTTACTGCTTGCCCTCTGGTTATCATGGGTTTCTGTGTCTTTGCCTCCCTTGCCACTTTCTAGGCAGAGATGGCCTTGCCTTTGGGTCTCTCACAGCTTTTTTTGGGTGAGGCTTAAGCAATGTGTATAAGAATCTGCACAGAATCACTCCTGCTTCACTTGTGGTCTCTCATCCTCACACACTGTTCTTTGCTCTCTCATTTGTTTCTTTTTTCCAATATTTATGTATCTTCTAGAAAAGATCACACCTAACGAACTTCATGGTATTCTTTATTATGCCTTAACAGTGTCTCATAGGGCAAATGCTGGGGCAAACCAAGAGTTTCAGTTAAAAGGTATTACATCTATAATTACATAATCCCATGATTTGAAAAGATCTGCTCTGAATCTCTGCTATTTCTTATCTCACATAATATTTTTGGTAACTTCTTTTTCCATTCTTAGTTGTTATTTGAACTCTCTGGATTTAGGCTGCAGCTGTAGAAAAACAATTGCATTCAAAATAATAAGCTTCAGCAGTAAAGCTGTGAATTAGGCTAGAATAAAATCTGTTGTGCATTTTCACTGTGACTACATTCTGCTCTTTTAACTCAGCTTGAACCTTACCATCCACTCACATTTTCTGAAGTGCCTTGTTTTGAAAGATACCGGTAAGGACTGCAAAAAATCCAGAACGCACTTACTATCATAGTTACTTCTAATCATCTGATACAAAAATAAATGTGGGTGACATTGATCTTCAGCAATCTCTTAAGGGGTTCACTCAAAATGAATTATGAATTGATCATAATTAAAAAGATGAGTTAAACTCTTGGATACTGAGTCTGCATACTCTATTATGCAACTCCTGGAATAATCATCTGGGGTTTGATGTGTATATCTGGGATGTTTCACAACTGCAGGAACATGTAAACTGAACTGCAGGAAGAAAAAAATGCCATCATGGACTTTCTACTCTGTTGCCTCTTTATTGTGGGTTCAATTTGTGTGAGAGTAATGTTTATGCTTTAATTTCTTAACTACATGTCTGCTAAATTTTGTCTTTACATTTCAAATCACTCATTTGACCTGCGTGTATTTTTGGCACATCTTTTCCTGCTGCAAGAATGATCATTAAATCTCCTGTAGATTTTCAAATGTCTGTTTCATTACAAGATTTCTTCAAAACTTCTCCTGTTGTTCCAGTACATTTTATGCATGTGTTTCTTTCTCAACAGTTGCACAGTTGCAATCCTTTTGTTGCTGAGGTTTACAAGGTAGTTAAATGGGATTATCCCTGTTTTAAAAGATGAAAATCAGGGCATAAAATTTTGTTTGCCCATGATCGTATGAGACGTCTGAGCTCCAGGAGAAGCAACAAGTCTGTCGTAATTATTTCCAAGCCAGTGCTTTACCTGTAGGCTGCTCCTGCCTCTTTCTTTGTATTTTCCATTAGCTTTGGGAAAAGTTTTTGAGCGTGCTTTTTGGCAGCCAATATATGTTTTTAATGTGAGAAGCAATAGTTTTCTAAAATGGACCATCAGGTAATATTGTAATAAGAAAATGGCAGTAATGTGGATGCACAGAATTTGTTTAGAATGTTTAGATTCCATGTCTCCTGAAGGTCAGATTGTGTCTGCTTGATATTTTACAGCACAGTCTTTTATACTCAGAGGAATATGTGCTTTTGTGAAAATTGAAATTCTTTTCAGGAGAATGTGGAGGGGCAGCAGGTAAAATGAGAGAACTGGAGGAAAGAACACCAATTAAATTTGAAGCATTTATTTTGGAGAGTTTTCGCACAGGTTCCTTTTAATCCCTGATTAACAGATGAAAGTAGATATGCTGAGACACAGGTCTAGTACTAAACCCTTTGATAACAGAATTACAATGTCTTTGTTGAACAGGCTTATTTGATTTGTTTGCATCATCTTCTGCAGCAGTGATTGCTAGGCAAAGGAAAACACAAGCGAGAAGCAGTTACTCGTGTTGCATCCAAGACAGGCACTTACATGTATCCCAGGAGCCTTTACTGTCTGTAATGCCTACTGCTGATTATCAAGGCTGGAGTTTCTAGTGCAAATAAAAATTGTCCTTGGAGAGGTTGGTCCAACACAATGATAAATGGCATTGATTCACTTAAATGTTAAGAGAATTTTATTGTTATTGAACTTAAAAAGAAAACACTGAAAATATTGAAAGCCCAAAGTCATTGCAATCTTTATAATGAGTATTCCTGGTATCGGAATGAAAATTAATGTATCTAACATATGTACACTGTCCCCTTTCGGCTGTATTCCAGGACAGAGGAGCGCTTTTTTTCTAAATCAGTCTTTCCATCGGTGGTGGCTGCACCATGTTCCACATCTCTACCCGGGACCCCTCCTTCTCCTGCCGGCTGGGGCTGTAGGTCCCTTGAGTTGCTCGTTTATTGGCAGTGATGACTGAAACCACAACTGCCAAGAAGAGGATCAATAACAAGGCCAGCGTTACTGAGCCAATGGAGGTGAATATGTTCGAGATCAAGTCAGTTGTCAACTGGAAGGATTGAAATAATTGCAATATAATTTACGTCAACAGAATACTGAGACACACTTGAACTACCATGGAAGGAAAACAAACCCGTCATATGGCTAGGGCTTTGCAATGACTAGCTACTGCAGAAGCACCGTTTTTTGGTAGAGAAGTACAATAACCCCTCCAGATTTTGTTCTTTGGACTCTTCAGAAAACTACACGCATGGTGCTGGATATTGGATATTTGATATAGAAGGCAAAGCTGGATGAATTTCACGCAATGGACCAATTCATGTGATGGCTTCCTTTCTGCTGAAAATAACCTGTGAGTTAATATGTCTGCAGACTGTAGTATTAATTCAGAAATTTTTTGTTTAATCACTTTAAATAATTATCCCTATTTTGGTTATGAACACATTTGGTTATTGCTAGTCTTTGTTACTGCAAATTAAACGAGCTATTTTGACTGGATAAATATTCACATTTTTGTTTCTCTTGCTCGAGGAGTCAAGCTTATGTGGATACTTGTACTTATATATAGAAAATGTGCTTACTGTAAATATTTTTATAAAATGTATTATTTCTACAAGCGTTTCTGCCAGTAAACTTTTCTACTGGCATGTTTTCGTGAAGTAAGTGTATAGAGGCTGCACCAGAGTGCAACTAAAATCTATTCAGTGAGAAACTAATCAGAATATTTTCACAAATATGTTTTAAAATATTCATCCAGCTCTTCTTCTACATAGAGGCTTTGTAGCTGCATCTACAGAAACACAAGCAGTACAGTACAGGATGAATGTACGGATGCTCTGATTTTTTTTTTTTTTTCTGTTTTCATGTGGCACTGGGAAATGTGATAATGTCAGAAGGCACAGTGTGCATAAACAAATCTGCCAGTTGAAAAGCTTTAGACCAGAGAAATTTTATAGCTGGTAGATGAATGTTTTATACACATCTATGTGCTTTTATGTGTAAAAAATGCTTATGGTGAGGTAAGCCAATGAAGTGATGTAGTTAGTGTCGAAGTGGTCACTGCGGACAGAATGACCCTAGCAGGAATTGAACTTCTGGGCAGATTCTGCCATCCATCATCTTTTGATTTGTATTATGAGTGACAGTTGAACTGCCACAGATAAATGTGTGCTTGAGGCTGAACTTTCAAATCCCAAAATATTTAGAAACAGAAAACAGCAGGTCAAAGCCCATTTGCCAGTTAGATACTGCATGTTACAGAATATTTTAGTGACCTGCTTACTCATCTTTTCTAAGGAAGTGCAATTACAGTCCTGAGAATGATGGCAGTTTTGCATTCAGCGATGGATGTACTGTAAGTGGATTCTATTGCTGTGCATACATTGCTTGGGCTCATGCTTTTGCAAAACAATGCCAGAGGGAAAATGTTGAAACAATCTTTCCTCTATTTTTTTCTCTCCACCTCCACCCTGATGTAAAATGTCCTACTGTAATAATAAAAGCCGGTTTGGCTCAGGGATTCTCTCTAGGGGGATGCATGACCAGCTAGGTTATTTTACTCTGTCCTTGACGGCTACATATATGGTTCCTATGATTTTAAAAACATTTTTTCCAATAGAATAATCTAGTGCAGGTAACAGACCACGTGACTGCAACCCTAAAACAAGGTGGCATGAAAAATGTTGATCCATTAAATTGGATTGGGAAAGTCATTTAATCTTTAGATGGTGTTACAGATATATTTGAGACCTTATTCTTCCTCTGTACTGTGTTAGACTATATGACCCTTGTTCCTCTTGTCTCAGAGAGGTTGAAAATTTTTAATGTAATTTTTATTCTCAGAAGCTGTCTTTTATTTCCATTGTCTGATCTGGGAAACCAAGCACTGAGATAGTCTAAGCAAACTCTTTCCCTGGGGTTGAACAGGACATTTGTGAAAGAAATTCACTACCATGGGCAAATGGATGCTGTTGCCTGGTCTCTGGTATGTGAAATTTCTGAACATATTCTCCTGTTTTCCAGTCCATGCACTTTCCACTCCTGTTGTAAGTATGCCTATATCTACGAAGACATTTTAATTTATGATAACTTTCAAATTGATTTTATTTCTTAAAGAAAAATTTTATGAAAAGGAATTGGGGAGAAAAAAACCCTGTAACTTCTTAAAATGCAGTCACATATCTAAACATCATTCTCAAGGTTAAATCATTATTGAAATCATCATCAGGGCTTTTTTTTTTTGTTCTGTAATAGTAACTAATTACAGAAATCTTACCCAAAGCACATCTTAGCAATTCACTGCACATTTTGCTCCAATTCTTGTTTCTGTTCAGTAAGTATTATTCATTCACTGGATTTGGTTTGGTTAACCAGTGACTTGAAAAAAATACTGAAAATTGCCCATATTGCCTGTATCTGTGTTGGACAAAACACTTCCTCTTGAGCCAGTATGTAAAAAAAGTTACCCACTGATTAAAATCTAAAGATCTGGATTTTTTACCATGATCAGATACTTTATTTCCGTGTTTATGTTGCTTCTAATTTCTAAATATGAAAAAAAAATTGCCTTTATGTCATCTTTTTGTGGAGGTTCTATTGATCAAAAAAAATTATCTACTCTTCAAGTGCTGTCCCTTGGTTTGTTAGTCCAGAGATCACTGCCTACATTTCCAATATAGGTAGCCCCCTTAGCAGTAGCACTGAACTGATATTAAAAGTTGCCAGAAGGCTCTGCAGTCTGGTCCCATCAAAATCAGCTACTTCTTTAGTGATTAATGGTTGAACAGCTAAATTAATTTGCAAATCAACTGCCTGATCTGGAAAAAAAAATGAAAAATCTAAAAAGTTCTGTCTCTCGTCATCTCACTCTGTTCATTGCAGTATTTGGTGATGATGATAGACTGAAATAATTGTAACTCGTAATCCTGAAAAGAAAAAAGACTGAGCAATATTTTAAGAAACATAGTGCTGCTGAGACAACGAAAAAAGAGGTTTTCTGTTACTGACCCTTCTGTGTATTTTGCATAATGGTAGGGAGTGGGCTTTAAAAAAACAGTTTGAACGTAAAGGCCCTATATCACGGCTTCAGGCTGTTCTGGTAAGCCCTTCCCTGTTGCTTCCACCATAGATGAATCTAGGCTATGAAGCTCACCCATGTTTTGAAGAGCAGAGCCACTCTGACCGCCGTAGGCCTGCTCATGCATGTAGCTGCTTATCTGGGCGTTCACAGCCACGTAGCAGATCACCCGTGGCTGCAAATCTGTGGGTGTCTGGAGGTGCTGGGTGGTGAGCAGTGCACAGCTGATGTCACCTTGATTAGACCACCACACTACAGCATCACTTTTTAGCTTCATATCACACAGGCTGCTATTTGCTTCCCCACGTTAGCTTGTTAAGATCTCATTATTGAATTGGCTGCTTGGGAGACGGCTACTTGCTATGAATGCATAATTTTTTGGTGTGTTTATCACAAAGCTATGGCAGAGTCCCACACAAGAGGTGTTCTGTGGCCTAGAGCTTCAAAAGCAGAAGGGGAAAGCTCTGGAAAGGAAAGGACAAAGCAAGGCATACTTCATTTTGTTTCAGCACAAACAGAAAAAGCCACAGGACAGCTGGAAATTTATGAAAAGAAACAAGTCGCTGAATTTTAAAATTTTAAAGACTGTTGTTGTCAGGGAAGCCTATGAGACCCCCATACACTGTGACAGCCTTTCAGAAATAATTCTTGCTAATAAATACCACGTGCTATAATAAATATCACAAGCTATTTCTGAATGTAACTTCAACACTGCTTATGAATAACTAAATAGATGTAGGATAACTGAAGGAGGGTTAATTTACTGACTGGGCAATACCTTCTAGATTTTCATTATGCTTTGAGCAGGAGCTTGGACTGGGAGGCTCTGAATTATTTTATGAGCCCGTTTAAAAGGTAGCCAGTGACAGAATAGTTGTGAGAGTTCCCCTGCCCCTAATATACAGTAGCTGTCAGTAAAAGCTGTATCCTTAATGGTAATGGATGCTGATGGCAAGATGATGTCATGTGCCATGGTAATACCAACAAAATGAAGTCTGCTAACATTAGAAGGCCAATCTGCTTCTTGCTAAGATATTTTATATAGCATGTTCTATTTATATGTCTTTGTATGTCAGCTGGAGCAAGATGAACTTATTTTGACAAAATTAAAAATAAAAGGAAGAATTAAAATATTCTTGAATTTAGTTTTCTTATAGTGAATAGCTTCATCTGCAAAGACAGGAGGAAACAAACAAACAAAAATTTTCTGCCTTTTTTAAAACAAACTCTTGGCTTTTCACAAGTGATTTCATTTCAAAGTCGATTAATATTTTAGTCTTTTAAAATTATTAAATAAATATAATTTATTGAAGTAAATTGACTGTTCTGCCTTGGTTCCTTGATTTGCTCTGCAGATGAACAGTTTGGATAAGGAAAGCCCAAATTCACAAGTCAAATCGCAGTAACATTTATCAATCCAGTATATGTATGCTTGTCTTTAAACAAGCCATCTTCCAAACAGTTGTTTTATGAGAAGAACATTAGGGATTTGCTATATATGAACATTTTCATGTGCGCCAAATATCAAAGGCAAGTGGAATATCACAAGGGAGTCAGCAAAATACATAGGGCCTCTTCCTCTTGTGTGTTTCACATCAGCATGACTTAGCTGATCTAGTCCTGCTTTATGTCAGTACGGGGGATGAGAATTATGGCCACAGGCACTAAGGGCTGAGCCAGATCAGGGAGAGAGAAGAGCAAGCTGCCACGCCAGCGGAGAAATCGCTGTAGGTGTAAGAGAAGTAACATGAGCTTCCTTAAGACACTACTACCCAGGCATGAGTTTTGTGTGGGAAAGTGGGGCCTGGACCAAGGGTGTGTGTCTCTGGGATGAGAAAGGTATAACATGCTCTGAAAGCAGAAGCACACCTCTGTTGCTGGGCATTAAGAACTAATCAGCCTTCATGTCAGCACTCGCATAGAAATGTGCCTGTTTCTGTATGCCTGGCAAGACAAAGACATCAACACAAGCT